TCATCATCATCATCATCATCATCATCATCATCATCATCATCATCATCATCATCATCATCATCATCATCATCATCATCATTATTATTATTATTATTGGCATTATTATTATTACTGTCATTATGATCATCAAAGTATAATAACATTCTTCTACTTATTATTATTACCGTTATTTCTCATAACCATCACTATAACTGCCCCCATTTTTGACAACGTAACTACGTTATCCCTCATTTTGTTGAAATTATCACTATACTTAAATCCATTTAAACATCTTCACTTTTCAAATGCACATAGCATTATACAAATCGCGCGTCTGCGAAAAGTTCACATCGTGAGCTATTGTGCGATGTCTCGCATTAAAAGTTAACTTCTTTTCTTGGTGTTGTCATCTCTAATCTCGTAACGTTCGCACAAAAAAACAAACAAAAAAACAAACAAAAAACCCCGGAGAAAACGTCAATTTCTTTGTGGTGGTTTCTTTTCGCAATAAATCAACCCGATTTGCTAAACACGTTACAACCTAAATTTTTGCGAGGAAGAACACGAATTCTTAAATAGATGTCTTTATTTTACTCCTAACTGTATGTAAAGGTAGAGCGAAGAGGAAGAACGTAATTCGGATTTCTTCTTCTTTTTCGTATTATTATATTAATTCTGTATCTTCAAGACGTGACAGCCAAATCATCACCACGAAGAAAGCCTCACTAAAATCTTCTCATCGACGGGAGAATAGCGAGAAACGGTCAAAATGAAACTTTGTGATTGAAAGTACTTACTTCAGAGTTTTCCTGTTCAGCTCGAGGAGAGAAATCACTTTAGTCAACGATATCTCGTTCTTATATACAGAAAAATTGGCCAATTGATTATCGATATTTTAAGCTGTAAAAAGAATACTTTTGTTCAAGCCTAGTGTTTCGCTTTCTGTGGGCGTGAGAGTAATGAAAACTCAGTTTTGGATAGCGGGGCTTAATCATTTATGGGAGAAGCTGTTTGAAAAGATCCATTAGATTTGTTTGCTTACAACCTCTTGACTCCGTTTCATGTTTAATCTCAGTGAAAGAAGAAATCGGATCGACACTCAGAAACGGATAAGCGGATTGTCATCATCGTACCCTCCCCTCCCTTTTCAACCCGATCCCCTACCCACCCCATTTTCCCACCTCCCTCGGCAAACGTTGTGGAAAAACACTTAAGTAAAATAAAAAGAAAGCAAAAGCTGGACCGCCCCCACCCCAAACCCTGCAACCTACCCACCTCCTTTACATAGCCTGTAAAAATAGATATGAAAGTTAAATATAATATAAACAGCAATCCCCCCCCCTACCCCATTTTCTATCACACTTTCCCGAAAGAGGATCTTTAAAAAGTTATAAAAAGGAAAAGGAAACCCCCCCCCCCCCCCCCCTTTTCTTTTTTTTCCACAATTCCCCCCCCCCCCCAACTTCATTTAGAATTGTTAAGGACAAACAACATGAAAGAAAAACCCGCCATCATCCATTATCATCCACTCGAAGTTTTCTCCATTTCAAGTGGCGTCGGTAGCCTAGTGGTTAAGCTACCATACATGTTACCATGAGGTTGCAGGTTCTGGGATTCGAGCCTCAGCTCGGTCCGACGTTGTATCCTTGGAAAATACACTTTACACGAAATTCCCAATCGGCTCAGCCCTTTCGGAGATGGACGTTAAACTCGGAGGTCCTGTCTCTTTAATAACATAAAAGTGATGACAGAGGCGTTAAACCCATACCATTTCAACCCCCCCCCCCCTCTCCCCTTCGTTTTAAACTTTTCATCAGGACCAACAGCATCTTCGACTTGTTCAGCATCATGGTTTGCGAGCTCTCCACTAAATGTGGCCGCCAGGACGGGCTATATGGAAGCCCTCACTCACACACGGACGTTAGACTTTGAATATAGCGTAGATTAAATTACAACCTGTAAATCTGTTTTGCATTTCCGAGATAACAGAAACATAAAAAAAAAATATTGCCCTCCTCAACTTAACTGCCATGATAGCAAATTAATGTCAAAAGTGGCGATCTTATCTAACTGCCAGGACAGTTTACGCCTGTCCACCTTTCGGTACCTGTCTGTTGCCCAGCGAGGACGTTACTGCAGTCAACTGGCTGTTTTACAGTGTCACGACATGCACGTGAAAGAAAGTCTTTTAGTATTATACAGAAGTCAGTACCTCAGAATTACGAAGTTCTATCTGACATTTTTGGGGCGTTTTCAGTTACTAAGATCTAAATGTAATGTTTGCTCTATCAAAATCGTAAGATTATTCTGAGTCGTTATCTAGATATCCAAAGAACTGCGTTCGAAAAATTTTGAAATATTGTTAAATTCTAAGCTTTTGACGTCAAATTTCTCAAAACTAGATACTGAGAACAGAGAACTTTGTAATTCTGAGGTTGCAAAGTCTCAGAATGTCTAAATAATAATAATAATAATAATAATAATAATAGTAATAATAATAATAATAATAATGATAATAATAATAATAATAACAATAATAATAATAATAATAATAATAATAATAATAATAATAATAATAATAATAATAATAATAATAATAAATAGCATATGTAGAGCTAATATCCCCGCTGGATTACAAGCTCTCTGTGCTTTACACTATATTTTTACCCAAGCAAAAAATAGAACACTCAGATACATTGTCAACTTCCCAGGAAGCATACAGTGCAAGCAGTTCATTAAGCGCTTAAACACTAACAGACTGACAAGATCTTTAACTGTCTATAGCTGGGGACCCATGAAATTGTGTTTAAAATGCCTTTTCCACGAGTCTGAGAGCCTAATTAACCACTAGGCCTCTGATGTCACAATACAGTGTCTTACAATATCTTGCAAAAGTCTCGGAATTTCATACGGGGTGCTCTAAGAAAGTACAAGAATTTGAGACAGTATAACACACAAATATTACACAAAGGGAAGGGTTTATCATAACGTTTAGCTTCTGACAAAAGTATGATGATGGTTTACACTGTTACACAAAAGACTTTAAATGTTTTGTAGTATTTCAAAATAGTATCAGATCGTCTTATACTGTTAAATAAAAGTAAAATCATAGTCTTAAAGGATTGCAAATAAGTAGAGAATTGTCTCAGAAAATAAAATAAAAGTATAAAGAAGTTTTACAGTATAACATAAAACTACTCAAATCTCTTAATTGCTCTAATCATGTATTAGAAAATTTTACAGAACTACGCAAACTTTTAGAAATGCAATACAGTATTATACAAAAGCTTCAAAATGTTTTACAGTAAAAAACAACAACAACAACACAGGCTCCCAAATGTCTGACACTTACAGTATTGTTCTTGTTAGCAAAGCGACAGCCCGCTCTCCTCTTAAAAACGAAATAAATCTTTCACTGTTCCCGAGTGCGGAGAAAAATTGATTTCGCTTCTGTTTTCGTTCGACAAGACGCGATAAGTCATAGTTGCGACAGACACGCGAAATCCAAGAGGGTAGGCTTGCAAACCCTCAGTAAAGAACATCTGTGTCCAGCTATGATTATTATAAACATTTATGGCGGCGTTTACAGTTTGGCCTCTCGCTTATAAAAAAAAAATTCATTTCCCAAGCTATTTGTTGGGTTTTTTTTTCTATTTCTTGAAATGGTCGGTCAGGTTATTATACTTAAAAATCTTCTTTTTTTTCACAATGTTCTCTTGTACTCAAACGTGAGACACCATCATACAGACTTGCAGACGTTTCGCTACTTTAGAAGTGCGAAGTTCTATCTGCTCAGTATCTAGATTCTAGTTTTGAGAATTTTGACGTTTAAAAAAAAGTTATGTTTCACATTATGTCCAGCTTCTTCAAAAGCATTTCTATGATTATCTTGATAACGACTCAGAATAACCGCTAGATTTTGATAGAGCAGATAAAACAGTTGATTTCTGATCTCATGGTCTTAGTAACTCAAAACGGCCAAACATGTCAGATAGAACATAGTAATTTTGAGATAGCGATTTATCTAATCATGACAACTGTTGGGGTACAGTAAGTTGTGAATGTGACCTAAGACACGGAAAGTAAAGGTTCGAATCCGAGTAGGGAGAGGACTGTTCTTTCTGGTCCGCCATGGAATAACACATCTCAGCCCAATGTACTTAGGGCTAAAAAGGATAAAGGGGAAAGGGGGGGGGGAGGAATGCGCTCTGTAACGCTGTGAGCTATTAAAAAGGTTTTTATCCAGTTTACGTTAGATGCAAATCGTGAAAATGATAAAATGATATAGGTTTAACGCCCCTATCAACTCTGTTAGGCTATGTAACAGGCGTGAACTCCAAGTTTAACGCCCATCTCTTAAAGGACCGTTGCAGATGGGAAATTCGTGCAAAGTGCCTTTCCCAAGGACTCAACGTCGGACCCAGCTGAGTCTCAAACCCCTGACCCCGAAATCTTACGATTACGATTCCGGTAGCCTAACCACTGGGCCACCGACACCACTACGTTTGATGCTTCCATTCGTGCTGGAAAAGGTTTTCGTAAATAGCCTTCGTGATATGAGTGTGATGGCTAAGGTGTCAGTCTGCTTCAACTCTTCTGTCCTTGGTGGGATTCCGACTTGTTTTGTGTGTGTGTGTAAGGCAAAGTGCTAAACCATCCTACCTCAGGCGATGGTTTTCTTTTGGTTTTAAATCTCGCTATCATTTCGCCAGAACCCGGCATGGGCTTGGGGACATAATATTGGAAAGACCCTATAAATAAGAGAATTAAAGGGGAAAAAATCGAGTAATTGTTAATTTCGAATATCACTCCATGTAAATGGAAGGGGATGTCGAATATCACTCCATGTAAATGGAAGGGGATGTCGAATATCACTCCATGTAAATGGAAGGGGATGTCGAATATCACTCCATGTAAATGGAAGGGGATGTCGAATATCACTCCATGTAAATGGAAGGGGATGTCAGTACAAACACCGAAAACGTCTTGTCAGTCTGGTTTAAAAAAAAATCCTGATTCATTTTTTTTAGCTGTTGGAGAAAACAGGCGTATACACTGTTGACACCTCAAAGCGTGCATATTATATCACATACATTATTACAGGCGGATTGCCTTGAGGTTTTATTAATCCATCAAATACCACATGTATTCCAAACCGCTACCTTAGAATTACAAAGTTCTGTCTGACATTTTTGGCAGTTTTGAGTTACTATGACCGAGGGATCCGAAACTAAATGTTCTATCTGCTCTATCAAAATGAAAAGATCATTCTGAGTTGTTATCAAGATATTCCAAGAATTGCATTTGGCAAAGCTTAACATGTTGTGAGGCTCAACAATTTTTTAGGTCAAATTTTTTAAAGTTAGATCAAGGTACTGAGCAGACAGAACTTTGCATTTATTCTAGAATAGCGAAATATTTGGAGGATCTGTGACGTAAGTGTTTTGGCTGTCGATGTACACACGGTATTTTTATAGCTTTCTCACGCAGTAAAACATTGCTTAAGAGTCGGTGCGATTTTAAACAGTATACGATAGTTGGATTAGACGTCAACTTTATGTCTTTGACTAAAGTAAATTTTAAATTTAAATAGGGTTAATTTTTTCTAAACATTTGATTTGTAGCTGATCTGTATTACAAATATGGGTACGATATTCAAAATGTTGTTCTTATTGTGATTTTGAGACTACTCTCCAAAATAGTACATAAGCAAACACTACGCCAAGATTTAACAATATCGAAAATATTATGTGAGTTTGTTTACTCATTTTTGCGGGAATTTTTGTTTAATGTTTGCCTTGAGATAACATTGGTAAGGGGGGGGGGGGTTAAACCCATACACTTACTTATGTTTGCTTAGAACACGGGTCACCAAACCATGGGCCAGGGGACTCTCGTTGTCGAGAGGTACAGTGTTCGCCTCTCAATGAATAGGTCCCGGGTTCGAAACCTGACAGGGGCGAAACATATTCTACTCTAAAATGTACACCTTTCACCTCTTTTTCTACTCTCTAACCATGTTCTATCGTCTGCTTTCGTCTCCAATGTCTGTCCCCTCTAACCACCCCCCCCCCTTTGTCCCCTCCTCTGGGCTCCTGGCTCTTTCTGCTGCCCCTTTCTGCTGCTACTCCTTGCCTCCTTACTCATGCTGTCTTTCAGCTATATTCCTGATCTCAGGGCAGATAAAATCCAACACCTAGCCTTCACGGATAAGGGTAAAGAACATCTTCAAGATCCGTGTGTAAGTCGTGCCCTTTAAAGACCCCTCGGTGGCCCTAAAATCGATAAGAGTAGGCTTCAGCCGCCACCCTGGCATAATTCAAAGTTAATTCCTACCAAACTGAAAATGTTTAATGTGTCACGCGCGCTCACGTTAACTAATGCACTTGTGAGCGCCGTAAAACACTAACCAATATAAGAAGAATATGGTCCTCGGAAGTCCGGCCCGCCCTTATTCCTAACCTACGCCTCCCCACGCCCCTGAAATAAACTACAAAATGTTAGGAGTATTTGATTGCATGTTCCGGACCTCGCCACCAAAATAGGTTAATCATAATTTCATTGAATTTTAGGTAACTGTGCTAATTAAACGTATTTTTACAAACTTTTTTGGTGTATTTTTTATTTTGTGTATTAATAAATGAATGGGTCGATTGTCTATAATATTTTTATGTATGCAGTGTATTGTTTAGAACAACATAGCAGTCACACCCTCGTCTCGTCCGACATTCTCCAAGGTATCCAGCCCACTTCGAAATAAAGAAGAAAAGAAAAGTCTGATGATTCTTTCTTTAAGAATATTTCGATTCAAAGACATTGCTTTGCAGTTCCCTTGAGTTCATTGACCTCAGATGAAAGAAACGCGATACGAGAAAAAGACGGACCTCAAAAAGTTTCCGAGTTTCCAATCTCCGACTGGTTTTATGATCACCCAGACATGAACATCGTTTAAATGTAAATGCAAGAATAATGAAAGTGTGTTTTTTTTATTGTGAAACAATGACAGACTTTTTGTTCTTCGGCCAGAGCAGATGGAACAGAGGACGCTCTGATACGGGGGTGCTCCTTCGGAGTACCTTAATCCTATCAGTACGCCCTGGGGTCACCCCCCCTCCCCCCCCCCGCCGGAGTTGCATTCTTCACATTTTAGAATACTTCTAGTGTGAAGATCTCTTTGAAACTTTCAGCATTTCTCAAAAAATCATTTTGACAGACTGCTTTGCAAAGCGTACTGATTGGATTAACGAGTAAATTTCCTCCTTTGAAAGTGGTGGCGCAGATTCCCCACGTCGTATGGATACGAAAGTAAAACCCGACGTACGGATAGTGTTAAACCAGAGAGTTGGTTAAACGCATCACATGGCATCGGGTTGTTCCGGTGTTTGTTTTATTGTTTTACGGCGCTCGCAACTGAAAAATAAGGTCATACGAGCGCGCGAGCCACATTGACTATTTTCAGATGGAAGGAAACTTTGAATTTTGAAAGGGTGGCGGCCGAAGCTTACTCTTATCGATTTTGGACCACCAAGGTATCTTTGACGTGAACAAATAGCACACGAGACCTTCAAGATTTTTAGCCCTTATCTGAGAAGACTAGGTGTTAGATCTTACGTATCATAAGATCAGGGGTGGAGCTGAAAGACATCAGTAAGAAGGATCCAAGGAGTAGCAGCCAAAAAAAAAGGCTGCAGGAAGAGTCAGGAGCGTAGAGGAGGGAGCAAAGAAGGTGAAGGGGTAGGTGGCGGCGTGCAGAAAGTGGAGACGAAAGCAGACCACAGAACATGGTTAGAGAGCAGGAAAGGAGGTGAAAGGAGAATATTTTGGAGAAGAAAATTTTCCGTTGCGGTACGGGTTCGAACCCGCGACCTATTTCGACCACTAGAGCCCCGATACGAGAGTGCTCCTTTGCGGTCCCTTAAATGTATATTACGTGACACTGCTGGGGGTGAATAATACATGGTTTGAAAGATAAATGGTCCCTTTTAATCACAAAGGGGCTATGCTGAAAAATGCTGTTTTGAGAAAATCGAAGGTAAGATTTTTGCCCCTTGTTCAGTTTCTTTAAAAGTCAAGGTGAGTTTTCTCTATAACCAAACAAAATACACGCACACCAATGACATCAAACTTCTTCTATAGGTAGGGCAAAACCCATTTTGGAGTAGGTCAAGATTTCAGGAAACCCCCGAAATCTGGGTTAGCCCGCTTGTCCTTAAAAGCGACCAAATAAGGACCTCCAGTGTGTTTACATGGTACACAATCACACGGAACTAGCTTTAAACGTAGCCTAAACATACATTTGACTTTTTTTTTGGGGGGGGGGGGTACGTGCCTGAGCAACTGTGTACCTCGCTTTGTCATGAAAATGAAGGTAGGAATAATCAACATTAGATTTGATGAAGGATGTGTTGACGTTAGCGGGGAGTCAGACAAACTACGCAGAATAATATCTATATATCTTTATCCAGGGGGTGGGGGTGGAGGGTTTATGAGGAGATGGGGAGGAATCTAAGCTGTAGAGGG